ATCCTCTCTTCCTGCTTATAACTTGATCTAAGCCAAAATTTACCAACTAATTATAAATTATAATGGAGTGTTAGGGCAGGCTTAGCCGACCTTATGGTTTTCACATAGGGAATACTTAATAACAAGAAAATATAACACATCTTTTTCTCTTTTTTTTTTTCTTTTTGGAAAAAGGATTCCTGACATGCATATTTTTTTTTTTGTAGAACCTGACATGCACAGTTACATCTTGTAACGTTTTTGGTATGGGCAAAAAACAAAGGTTACATCTTATAACATACACATTGAAATACTGTGTGATATGGAGCGCAAGAGTGAATCCCATGCAAGTAGTGTAATATATATTGGATTAAATTAAACAATACTTACTTTTATAATGTCATAATTAGACGTTTAAATAGTTACAATGTACGTTGAAGCGGTACGAACTACCAAAGACTAGAATGGTACGTTGGAAACGTACAAAAGATTGAAGAATAGGACTCCTTGAAGTAAGAGAAAAGAATCTGATTTTTGCAGCTTGATATATTTTGGTATCTATTCGAAGACTGTGAGATCCTTAGTAAAGTTAGGGCCGGTTGATAATATTTTTAAAATAATTTTGTTTTTAATATAAAAGTAAAAATGAGATTGTTTTAAAAATTATTCTGACATCGATTTTAAAATTGTGTTTAATTGATTTTTTTAAAAGATTATTTTGAGTATAATAAAAATGTGGAATCATGTTTGGTTATATTTATAAAATTTTATTTTACGTACATGTAATTAATAATCTTAAATTAATATATAAAGTAATTAATAATCACTTAGCAAATAAAAATTAATATATTAATAATATAATAATAATGATAAATATTATCATTAATGAGTACATTAGTATCTAAACTATATATATAATAAATTAGTATGCTAAATAATTAAAAGATAGTAATTAATAGTCAATTATAAGTAATTACTATGTTGGTAACTTTTAGTCACATAATTAAATACTTAGTTAATTAATTACTAAAATTTATTTAATACTCTATTGTTTGATATATTAAATGATCAATTTTTGGTAATTATTACATAAATAATAATTAATTGCTTATTATCAATTATTAGTTAGTATTGATTAGTATATTACATAATTAATCATTATAATTTAATATTAATTATTAATTGAGTAATTACCGTTTGTTTTTTATTTATCAACTATTTACTAATTAATAGATTATAATTGATATAATATATAATTAATATATTAATAATTAGTTATTTATTGAACCTATCATTAATATTCTATTATTAATATATTATATAATCAATTTTTGGCAATTAATTTTTATTAAATAATTAATTACCATTTATTATTTATTATCTCTATTAATAAATTACAAAATTAATATTTAATTAATAATTAAGTAATTGCTTTCTATTTATTAGTTATTAATCCTATCTATTTGTTAATTATTACTTAATGTGTTATATAATTAGTAATTAATAATAACTATTAAAGATAACTTTATTGATAAGTACTAGAAAATAAAAACAGAAAAGGGAAAACAATCTTAACTTGTTTTCTATTTTCTTCACAAAAATCATTCTCATTATTTTTTATTTTCGTTTTTGTTTTCAGAACATTTACTACACAAACACGGTTTGTAGACCATTTTTATTTTCGTGCCTCAAAAGACGTACATAAACTTTTTCAAAAACAACTAAAAATAATTCCAAACACACCCTTACTTTCTATTCGAATTTTTTTTTAAAAAAGAAAAGTGTAGAAGTTACTATATAATCTAATTTTTTTGAACTTTTTGATACTATTCAAATTTCAACCATTCGTGAAGAGAGAGATTGTAACCATAGTAATCTTTTCCATTAGCAGAAAAAATAAAGAAAACTATTGTAATCTTTTCAGCTTTTAGCTGACAATTTAATGGTTCAGATCGTTTCTTTTTATCATTTAATGGTTGAGATTTAAGTTGCATGGTACATCTCAAATTCAGTTTGATGTTATTAAAGCATAAAAATAAAAGTTGGGTAATTGGCACGAATGGTTCATAACCTTTTTAGTAGGTGATAATTTATTTCATATTCTTTTAATTTTAGTAAAATGGTTCCTAACGTCATTAAATAGGTGCAATTAAGTAATTTATGTCTAAATCTGTCAAATTACCCACGTTAAAACTCAGGTGAACCCTAAAAAGATGAAATTGCCCTAAACCCATCTCCCAAATCCGTATCATTCTAATCTGATAAATAAAAGTTAGGGCTTTCAACAAAGCATGCCAAACAATGCCGACAACAATGGCGGTGGCCAACAACAACACCAAAACCAACACCAACACCAACAACACAATCAACAAAAGCACAAGAATCAGCCCAATGACTCCCTTGTCGTTGCCTTCAGCCCAAAAGCCGTCAAGCCCTCGTCCTCGCCCTCCGCCTCCTTTGGGGCTTCCTCCGCATGCATCGTAGCCCCATCTCCACCACCTCTGATCTGGCATCTGGTCTGTATCTCACTTTGTTTTTTTTTTTTTTTTTCAAAGACCAAAACTTCTCACCATTAAGAAAAATTCTCTCTCTATGAAACTTTTGGATTTGTAATGAGTAAAATTTATATTTTATAAGGAAAAATATCACAAAATCACAGAGCTTTACATGGAAAATTACAAAAAGAAGAAATCAGTGGGGTTGTACAAGGAATAAAAGTGAATATAAGGAAAAATATACAAATGGAGCAATTAGTGGAGGTAAAAGAGAAAAATATATGCAGAGAAAAATGAGCCCCAATTAATGCTATGTTTGGTAAGAAGAAAAGAAAATATGATAGAAAGGAAATATGGAAGTGATGGAAAATAACAATGATGGAAAGGAAATTGATTTTCTTTTATGTTGTTTGGTATGAGAAGATGGAAAGAAAATGAGTTTACCTTCACTTGTTTGGTATTTGAAGTTAAATTGAGATGAAAGAAAAAATTTTACTCGTAAATTATTTTTATACCCTTAAATTTTTTGTTTAGATATTGATAGAGAAAATGATAGTTTAGTAAGTTTGCTCACTTTAATTAATTGTCTCTATTTTCCACCCTATTTTCTGCCCACTTATGGAAAGAAGAAAAATGGTGGGACCCATATGTATTATTTTTCACTCCATTTTCTCTTCCTTTCTCTTTTCTCTTTTCTCTCCTACCAAACAACCTACATTTCTATTTTCTCTCCTAAAATCTCTCCACCTTCTTCCTTCCTTCTATTTTTTTCCCTACCAAACATACTCTAAATATATATCAAATCTCCAATCAAGGATTCCTAATACTCTATCCACAAAATTTCCTGCTATTTCTTCATATTCTAAAACCCAAATTCTCACTCCCACAGATAATTCAAACAAGCAAAACTAGATCAATTTTTCCCAATTCAGATAAAAAACCTAAATAATTAAAATTCAACTCTCTCTCTCTCTCTCTCCCTCTCTGTGGAAATCGGACAAACAAACAGGCAAACCTTTAGGCACCGACCACATTGCCCCATCGGAGCTCTCGGAAGGTTCTAAAACCTTCGGGGGTGCCTTGGGCTCCTCCACGGCGGTGGCGACGGCCGATCTGAGGGCTCCAGCTCCATTGTCGGCCGAGACCTTGGAGTGAAAAAGAAGAGAATTCTTGAGTCGGAGAAGCAGATGGGGCTTGTGAGAGAAATGGGTTTCGGAAAGGGAAGAAGAAGGGGAGAGAGTTAGGAGATGGGTGGGCGGAGAAAACAAGGCCATGGAAGACATTTGGCTTCTGTGGTGTGACTTGTGAGGAACCGTGAGGATATCTAAACATGGTTGCTTTAGCTGCTTTAGCCCCAAATTGAATAAACATGTGATTTACGAAAAATAACTCTTTGTAATCGGATCACATAGATTTTAACGTGGATAATTTGATGAATCTAGACGGAAATGACTTAATTACACCTATTGAATGATGTTGGGGATAATTTTATCAAAATTAAAAGATTAAGGACTAAACTGTTACCTACTAAAAAAAATAAGGGACCATCCGTGTGAATGACTTAAAAAGTATTATGGTCAGAACCTGTAAAGTTAGCATAGTGAATATATACACACACATGGTTTCTGCAAAGGTTTTGGATTTGCTCTGGGAAACTGTTGTACTGTTGTTTTTTACCTGTCATGGAGTGAGTCCACAGAATCACAAGCCCGAGTTGCCCAACAATCAGAAAAGGCCAAACTATCAACAGCATTGTACTGGAGAGTACACTAAATATTAGTCCGTGAATTCAGGTCGAGAGAAACAGAGAAAGTAATATTATTTTAAGATGAATGGGTTTTAACATAGGCAAAGATCTACTTCGGGTAAATGCTATAAACTTCAACAAAACGAACTACCACTTAGATCATTTAAAACAAAGATTAGATCATTTAAAACCACCAATACATTGTTGTAAGGCGAGAGATAACTACCACTTATAATTTAGTGCGCGGTAATATTAAGATTGCTTGTTCTTTTCTAAAAAATCTTGAGTTTGAGTAAGTCTCATTATAATAAATAGATACAAGAGCATTTCACTTCATAATAGAGCGCCACTTCTTCAAAATTACCTGAGTTTACTACCCTCTATCCTTGTAATCCTTAATCGATGTAAAAAAAAAAAGACTTGAAACTAATTATCCTTTTAGTCGGAGAATTCCAACTAAAACTTGGATTAGATGATTCCAAAACTCCAATAGACCAAATGTGAGGTGAGGTGAGAGAAAGAGAAAGAGAAAGAGAGAGAAAGAGATCGGGGGGCCCATGTTGTCATTCGGAGGGCCAACAAGGAAGAGAAACCCCAATGGGCTTTGGCTCCCACCATGTCCTTACTTCATGCACATACCCCAAAACACCCGTGGTATGTCCTTTGACCTCCTTTGCCCCTATACTCTCCACGTCACCCTCCCTCCCTCTTCATCACTCCCTCTTCATAAATACCCCCCCTTCCCCTTCACCTCCTTCATTCACCACCCACCACCACAATCTCTTCTCATCCTCTTTATTCATTTCCCATCTTCTTCTTCTTCTTCAAAAATGGCCATTAGAAAAGCAAACAAGCTTCCCCAAACAGCAGTCCTCAAGCAAATCCTTAAGAGGTGCTCGAGCTTGGGCAAGAAGAACAACAATGGCTACGACGAAGATGGTCTTCCTCTTGACGTCCCAAAAGGGCATTTCGCAGTTTACGTCGGCGAGAACCGAACAAGGTACATTGTCCCGATCTCGTTCTTGACTCACCCAGAGTTCCAAAGTCTCCTTCGCCGAGCAGAAGAAGAGTTCGGCTTCGACCACGACATGGGCCTCACCATCCCTTGCGAGGAAGTCGTTTTCCGCTCTCTAACGTCAATGCTTAGATAAGAGAGAGAGAGAGAGAGAAACGAAGAAGTTAAAAGGGCCGAGAATTGTTTGATGGAAAAATGCATGCAAAGAAGAAAGAAGAAAGATGAAGATGGATATAAGATGAAGCTGCAGATTCTGCTTCTCTTTTTTTTTTACGTCTTGTTTTTCTTCTTCTTTGGATCTTCGCATGTGTTGTTGTTCTTGGTCTCTTTGGGGTTCTTCTTGGTTCCTCAAAATTCCATTTTATTTATTTGTTCTTTTGGGGGAGTGGGAGGTGGTATTTGGGTTTTGAAACCATATGTTGGGTTTTTAATGACTTTGTTAAGTCTAACTTTGGAGTTAACCCATTTGAAATTTTGTAATGGGTTTGCATTTGTATAAAGAAAGTTTGATGTTTTCCTCGCTGAGGTTGATTTGGATCATGTTGTGTACCCTGTGAGAGAAATTAATGCTAAGTAAAGCAAGATGAAAATTTCCCATTTTGCTTTTTTAAATAGTTTGTTTTTATATATTAAAGTGTAAATTACAGTGGGCATTATAATTCCGAGGTCTAGTTATTTATTTGTATCACTCTTACATGTAAATTAAACTTAAAACTTTAAAAAAAATGAATATTTAAGCGTTAATTCTCTGAAAATGATATTCTTCTAATTCATCCGTACTAATATCTCCCTTACATGAGGCTCATCTTTTTGGTTGAAAAACAATATAAGGAAACCCAAAAAGAAAAATCTAAAGAAATACAAACAACATTCCCTGACAAATAAACAAGAATCAAAAGAGCTCTACAAGGCAACTTGTGAGCGAGAATATTATCCATTTTTTCATCTAATTAAAATTGTAGGATTGAAAATTTAAATGAGACTTTTGAGAATGTTTGATTCATAAATTTAAAATTATAATTTAAAATTATTTTTAATTTTTATATATTTTTTATAAAAAAATATTATATTAAGTCACAAATTATAATGAGACGAATTCTTACTCTACGCTTCCATTTCTAAACGTACGCTTCCACTTCCATTATAGCTAATTAATTAAGATCTGTGCATGGGTTTTGGGGATGAGAAAAAAGCGCAAGATCTTGAGTCAAATCAAATCAAAGGCATCTAAAGAGTCTTTTAAGAAAGTTTACCCAAAGACAAACCCAGATGCTTGTCAGGGAATGTGGGGTACATACAAGTGTACGGATCACTATAATAGTTCAGGGCGTTTGTTAGAGGGATTCGTTCCCTGATTCGAATCATGATTCGTGGTTCGTTACAGTATTTTCTCTCACAAAAAATACACATAAATTAAAAATTATTCGAATCACATAGTTTGAATCCTCCAACCAAACGAACCTTTAGATTAGAATATTAAAAGGCTGAATCAAAAAAAAAAATTGATAACAATGAAACAAAACAACTGTGAGGGAATATAAAAATGTCATTATCAACATGAAGTTTGTAGTTATTCTAACCTAATGGAATAATAATCTGAAAAAATTCTATATTATGGACGTTTCTTTTTTAAAATAATTTTCTTTAATGTCATGGTGAGTGAACATGATGTGTCATTTAGCTTCATGCTAGTACGTACAATTTTTTTTCCTGCTTTTTGCTGAGAACAAGACATTTATTTCTATTCATGCACATATTACTACTTTGATAGTGGAATCAAAACAGTAAGAACTGTCAATAATTGGGAGTTAGCAGTTATTTGTCGTATGCACTCTGACGTACTAACAGTACAACATGTTTATCTTTTTAAAGTAAAATTCTTACAATTCTTACTATACTAATAATAATACGGATGAATTTGTACTACACAATGTAAAACACTCCATAAAAATCAGTTGCACCCATAAATTTTGATAAATTACCGGAAAGATGATACAAAATAAGACTCGATATCAGAAAAATTTCTCAACACATAAATTTGAGTACGCATAAGACTTTTTTTTATAAACCATTAGAATTAATCAAAGTTTTTGATCCATCAAGATCATATAATATATATGTTATTATTTGTGTGTGTGTGAATGTTTATTTTTGGTCCATTAAATTTTTGATTTGGCGATGTAAAAGTTCTGTTAGCTATGATCGTTTAGGCCGATTTGTTGGTGGCCTTCGAGCTACACAGTACATCGTGTTATATATAACTCTTTAATTTAAAGAAAGTAGAATTTTGTAATAAGATGATGTTCAACTTCTTTTTTTTTTTTTTCTAAATGAAAAAAAAAAGAGGACCAGTAATGGTGTCCTCACACCCTCTGTACAACAATCACTTGACAATCATCTGAGACCACAAATGGAATGGGGGAAAAAAAAAAAAACTTAACTCATACTTTCATCAACTAGCATCTGCCCAAGCCGTATTTAACAGGCCGATGAGAGGCATACTTGTAGCAGAGGACCAGTAATGGTGTCCTCACACCCTCTGTACAACAATCACTTGACAATCATCTGAGACCACAAATGGAATGGGGGAAAAAAAAAAAAACTTAACTCATACTTTCATCAACTAGCATCTGCCCAAGCCGTATTTAACAGGCCAATGAGAGGCATAATTGTAGCGTCATAGCAGATAATAAGAATTGAATCTTAGATGATATAAAAGCGAGTTTTGCAGATCATCCTTCACGCGAAACCAGGGTCAGTGGTAGATGTTCAACTTCATGATTACTAAGTTACTAAAAGACGTAAATAATACTACTTATGACGTGTTAACTAGTTGAGTTACAAACCACTAAGTGTTGTGATGTAGTGGTGAGGAGGCCTTTATTAGGACTCCTCTTCCTTTATTAGGACTCATCTTTCTATCCTTCTAAGGTTCGAAACTCCATAGCCACAAGTTGTGCCATCCTAAGTGGGTGAACACTGGTTGGATGGACAAATACTAAATTAATATCGTTAATAAATTAAACCTAAAAGATAGTTAAGTGTACCAAAATTTTGCTTCAAAATGTTCCTTTTGTTTCCCTTTATGTAGATTAAAAGTTTTATGTCTAGAAAATGTAAATATGTGATTTTTTTAATAAGCAAAAATTTATTAAAATATGGGATTAGGTTTTTTTTTTTGTCTGTGAGTACTCTACCTGATAGATATGCACATTCACTAATTTCATATTAATTTCATTCAACTAATTCTTACATTCATTAATTTTCATCTTCTTAATTTAATGGCCTAAATTATCACATGCATATATATGGACACTACTTATGACCAATATTTTGGGAGGGTACTGATAATATCTGGAAATTTAAATAATTTAATAACTTTGGCCGAGTAAATATTCTTACAATGATAGATATTAATACACATAATTTGTGCATCAGAAAAAGAAAAAAATAAACACAAAAAGATGCACGCTTTGTTTGTCAAATATGTATTCCTAACATATATTATACAGATAAGAAGTATTTCACTTTCTAATTTTCTTTCTCATATGCACCTTAATATTCATAATTAATTAATATCCAAATTAAAAGTTGATATAAAATTTGGAAATAGAGTTTGTATCCTTGTATTATTCTTAATTTTATTGTTCAATATGCTAGTTTGTTTTTTTTTTTTTTTAAGTTCTAGAATTAATTATTGTGATTGCTGACTCATTGAATGGTAAGTAAGTAAGAAACATGATTTGTCATGATTTTGTATAAGCATATTATATTATGTAATATGTCATTCTAAATAATAATTTTTTTTTTATTAATTAAATGATAATTATTTATATTTTAATGGAGTAACGCAAATAATATTTTTATCATCTCAAATGGTATTTGTATTTTTTATATATATAGGTGATCCCGATCGGCCCTTAATTAAAAGCCTTTGCGTGGCCAGTTGTGTTTGTACGCATGGGTCTCCTTACTTGTCCCTTAGAAGGGATATCTTATCGTGTTCATGATGATCAAATTCCACTGATCCAACGATCTATATGATCTTGCTTTACCCCTCCTCGTCATCATCATTGGGGTTATTCTAGTCTTTAGATCATCCGTTACAATTTATAAACTGTTTATTTTCATATGGAATCGAGGATGTCATGTGGGGGTTTTAATACAGATAAAATATAATTTAAAAAATACAAATGCAATTTTGAAAAAAAGGTTGGACCTGTAATAAAAAGCCAGATCACGTCGTAGATGAACTAATTATTATTATTTTTTTTATTTTTTTATTTTTATTATTATACAACATGCCATTTTACAGATCATGTAGCCCGTGAAAAAGATATATCAGTGTTATCTTATCCTTTCCTCCAGTATATCTAAACATAAGCATAAATACATATAAGAGAAAATTTTATTTTGGTACCATGTGTTATATCGAGATGTGAGTTTGATACTTTCTATTTTTAATAATATTATGTTAGTGCATTGACTTTATAGAAAATCTTCTTTTGATATTTTGGCGCACACAAAAAGACAAAATTACTTTTATTATTAAATATATTAAAAAAATCTTAAACTTACAACCAAGATTTTTGCTTTATGTATGGTACAGAGTGAAGTTTGGGTGTCTAGTTGCAGCTTTACGATTTTTTAAATTTTTTTATACATATTTAATAATAAAGGTAATTTAATCTTTTTATATCTTAAAAAACTGCCCTAGATACTAAAAGAAGATTTCTAAAAGATCAAGATACCAACATGAAATTATTAAAAACATAAAGTACTTGACTCGTAAAAGTTACGTAAAAGTTAAAAGGTAGGTAAATCTAACGGTTACAAAAATTTAGCCTACTGATACGCTAAGCATACTAGAGAATCTTTTAAAAATAAAAATCGAATATATAAAGTACGTTAATATTATTTTGTTTTGATTTAAAAAAATTATTATTTTAATTTGTGGGTATAGGGCTGTGCCATGAGATGAAAGAATCTTTTCCCATTTTTTTATATAATATTATTGAAGGAAAATTGTTTGACTGCCTTATACATTTTCATGTTATGCATTTTCCACTTTTCTTTAGATTAATGATATACACTTTCAAATTAAATATTTGGACTTTTCTGCATCTAATAATATACATATGTAGGTAAAATCATAAGTACTGCATAGTCCTATATATGTATATATATATTTCATATTTTCTTGAAAC